ACTGCAACCTCTGCCTCCTGGGTTCTAGTGATTCTCCTGCCTCAGCCTCCTGAGTATCTGGGATTACAGGCACGTGCCACTACGCCGGCTACTTTTTTGTATTTGTAGTAGAGACAGGGTGTTACCATGTTGGCCAGGCTGGTCTTAAACTCCCGACCTCAGGTGATCCATCTGCCTCGGCCTCCCAAAGTGCTGGGATTACAGGTGTGAGCCACCATGCCTGGCTCACTTTTCTTGAAGTAATAACTCATTCCTACAAAATCAAATATATTTATGGCTTTTTCTGAAAAAAAAAAATCTTACTGATACACTAGTAAAAATTGGTTTAAAAAGAAAAAAATGTAAAATTCTTGCTGAGAAATCTCGCTAGACAGCTGCCTCTACTCTAAGGTCTCAGGGTGAGGCAGGAATACAATATTGGACTCCAAATTAAAAGTTCCTAGAACAGACATTCCAGGAAAGGGCACTCTTCTCCCTTGAGACATGGATTATGAAAAGATACAGAGGCATCAGAGCCTATGTTTCCTATCTTGAAATTACATCCTTAGAGTCTTACAAAACAGAAGCTGACATTGGCCATATTTCAAATGGCTGAAAGCCAGCAACTTTATAATGTGAGTCTTTTTTTTTTTCTTTTTAAAGTATTCTCTGCCAACAACAAGGGTTTGCCAGGGATGCCAAGAAGACTGGCTGAAAAGCAATAAAATAAATCAACCACAGGTTGGGCACGGTGGCTCACACCTGTAATTCCAGCACTTTGGGAGGCCAAGGTAGGCGGATCACTTGAGGTGACTTGAGGTCAGGAGTTCGAGATCAGCCTGGCCAACATGGTGAAATCCTGTCACTACTAAAAACATAAAAAAATTAGCCAGGCATGGTGGCGGGCGCCTGTAATCCCAGCTACTCAGGAGGCTGGGGCAGGAGAATTGCTTGAATCAGGGAGGCAGAGGTTGCAGAGAACTGAGATCACGCCACTACACTCCAGCCTGGGTGGCAGAGCGAGACTCAGTCTCCAGAAAAAACAAAAAAGTCAAATAAATCAACCACATATTTAAGTATTTTCATGCCATCAAAAATAAAACCCTTTTTGATCATATCAACAACAAATACAAGTATGGTAGCCAACCTCCCTCGTAAGCATGTTAGGCATGAAGATCAGCTTGATACATAAGAATTTTGAGTTTCTCGGCCGGGCGCGGTGGCTCAAGCCTGTAATCCCAGCACTTTGGGAGGCCGAGACGGG